CACTGTCAGAAGTCTCTGCCTGCCGTGGGCCATGAGCGCCCCAAGGCCTCACTGCCTGCTGCTACTGCTGGTGGCAGGGGCTCTGTGCAATGAGGGAGGGGGGGCATATTTGTACGGGAGGTCCCATACAAATATGCCTCCCCATACCCCACATAAATCCCCCCACACACCCACACCCCATATACAAATACACCTACACACACTTGCACAGCCCCCCACAAACCCTGTACTGATCCACCCATGTCCCCCCTTCACCCCCTGTATACAAAAGTAAAACTTCATTTTAAGCTATTATGCAATCACCTCTATATAAACACTACACAAACATGTAAATCAAGACAAAAATATTTTTTGAAATAAGTGTATGTTGTAGTAGATGTTTGATTTGTAGACTATACATTTGTTTTTTTCTGGTTCAGATTGGTCAGGGAGCACAGAGTACAGAGCAGAAAACAGCAGCACATCAGGTGGAGGAAAGGAATCAGAATGGCAGTTGGGGAGGGTGTAGGGCTAATTTATAACACACCTGCCAAAAAGGTTGGCTCCTGATGTATTACAACATGCACTAATTAAAAGTTTAGTTAGTGCATTCTACCTTAGAGTAAAGGAGGGAACCCTATGCCTCTCTTGTCCTAGATTGCCAGTGCTACAGCGGAATATTTTTACATTTGCTAAATATAAGAACAAAGTCATGACGCTAAAATTTTCAATCTGATGTTCTATAGGGCTCATATGCACTCTCCCTCCCTTGCATATAACCCTATTATGCTCATATTTGTACTAACCTGTACAGCATTTAGATCCTAAAGCATAATTCTCCAGAGCAAGATGCCACAAACAAGCCATCAGTTCAGCAAAATATCACTGTCTGAGGAATATTTAGGAAAAGCTGGTGGAAAGCCAAAGACTTCATGGATGAAATAAGAAATAAGTTAAGAATTTGGGATGGAAGATCACAGAAGATTACTAACATGAGATAGTATTTCCAAATGACACAAACAATATTTTACTTTAAGGCAGATGCCACGACATGTGGTAGAACTGCTTCTAATATCCAAATAAAGTTTTTCTGTGTGCTCTTTCCCAAGAAAAATACTGTTTTGAAAAGAAGTCGCACACAATACAGATGCTAATCTAAATAAGGAGTTTGTAGAAGTGGTTCTTCCACAGAAAAACACAGAAAGTAGCAGTGTACTCAGAGAACATGCCTGGTAAAAAATGGCAAGGGAGAAGAATATTCCCCCGTTCTAGATTTGTTTTTGTAAATACCTGTACTGGAAAAGAGTGAATTAGGAGTCAAATGGGTGTCTTTCCATAAAGCTGCTAAACTCTTACTGGGAGAAGGCATCTTGGGAATATTGAAAAAAAAAAAAAAGTGGAAGGAAAATAGGAACAAAATGTAAAAAGAAAAAAGAATCCATGCTTTTACTGGAACCGTCTACTACTTGCTTAATAACAACTCGGGAGCCGGAAGGAGGGAGGAGAGGAGGGATCCAGGCACACGTGTGTCCCGCATAAACGTGCCCCCTTACCTGACCCGAAGCGGAGACAGATGCAGCAGCAGCGGAGCCAGCAGCGGGGGTAGCAGCAGCTGATTCCCGAGGTAAGTGTACAGAGGGACTGGACGCAGCTGAGCCAGATCCGGATCCCTTTTAGCTAAGCCAGTAGGGAGCTGCGCTCCCGAGCCGCGCCACGTGAACAGAGCGCGCAAACACTCTGTAAGAGCACGCTGGCGTTCGCACCAGTGGCTGAGCAGGAAGGGCCAGGAGGGAGACTCCTGCTAGGGCAGGGCAAAGCACCGCACTAAGCCATAAACAAGCAGCAACTCCTACGATGGTGTCGACACGGAGTGCTGCCAGGGCCCCTGCCCAGGGGGCGCAGCCTACCCAGAGCTTGTCTGAGGCCTCCACCCAGACAGAGCCCATGGGGGGGCTGGCATCCCCCCACCCCCTTGGCCTGTGGGAGTTGCCCAGCAAGGCCCGGGGGGGGGAGGAGGGGCAGGGTTTAGGGACCCCCACACCCATTCTGCAGGCGCCCGCCTTAGGGCCCTGGAGGTGCAGGTGAGGGAGCTCCAGGAGGAGGTTAGCAGGCTGAGGGGAATCAGGGAGGCAGAGGATGAAATTGACGGCTATTTCCTTTCCCTGCAGGGCCACACACCAAAGGAAGAAGCACCTTGGGAAGTGCCCTCCACTGCAGAGTGGCAGACAGTTACCTCCAGAACCAGGGCTGCTCGTAACACAGCACTATCAGCTCCTCCAGTCCAGCTGGAGAACAGGTACGAGGCCCTGGCAACTCTGGAGAAGGAAGGAGAGGAGGCAACTCCACACTCTCTGCCATCCGAGCATGCTTAGCTCCTTCAGCCGTCTCGGAGAAAGTAGTGTCGAGTGATCGTCATAGGTGACTCCATCCTGAGAGGTACAGAGGGCCCCCATCTGTTGCCACGACCCCTCAACACATGAGGTCTACTGCCTACCCGGATCAAAGATTCAGGACGTGAAGGGGATCATCCAGGCCGTGATCCAGCCCACCGATTACTACCCCATGGCCCTAATCCATGTGGGCACTAATGAT